CTCAATCATTACGACACATGTGAGGTGTTCTTTGAAGAGTGATCCGTGCACGATTGCTTTTCAAAGAGCATTTGACAGGCAGTGAGGATGCCTTGTGTCACCTCCTCACTGCTTGCATTAACCCTCTGGACCCCGTACAAGCTCCCCAACGTGAATAGTTCACAATCGGTGGGCACTATGCCTGCTGAAAATGTCAGGGGGCCTGCCATGTCTGCAAAGCATCACAGTCGCAGCATGTGTTACACCCCTGGCTGCTGCCTCTGCAGCTGAAAGGGTAGTAGTTGGGGTTGGTGACGTATAGCTCACCTGCAAAGTTTTACTGCCCCCCAACCTCACATGTGAATAAGCCCTAATAGTGCAGTCAATCACAGTGTCTCCGGTCACCATCACATCAGTCAATATGTCCAAAAATATGATAGGTAGTCAGGAAATTAGATGCATAATTGTATGCCCCTAGAAAGCCTGAAGATGCTTTTGGGCCTCTCTATGGGGCTAAGCTGTGTATGTTGTATCGCCATACTTGGGAGGTGTGGCAGAATATGTAGTGGGGTGTATTTCTAAGTATGCAAATGCTGTGTGTTGGCATTAATTTATTTTATCTTATTAATTGACCACTTTGTGAAAAGAAATTAATTTTCATATTCATTCCGCAGTCTTTAAAATTTTGTCGCAAAAATATTAAGGCATCATGCACACTGAGGCTCTTCTAAATGGTTTTCTCCTGGCAGAAGAAAAGCAGCTGCAAAAATGAGCCTAGGCTTCTCTCACAAAATGTGATAGGCAGTCAGTATATCAGGACTGGTCAGTTTTCAAATATATACAGTATATCATAGTTTGCAGACTCTTTTACACAGACTAAATAACATCTACTGATTTGTTTTATTTCACCAAAGAAATGTAGCAGAATATATTTTGGCCTATATTTATGAAGAAAGATTATTTATTTGTGACTGCACTGAAAACTGAAAATGGCTTGGACCGGAATGGAGTGAAACAGTCCAGTCTTCAAATGGTTAAGCAAATAAAACTTTTTTTTTCTTTTGGAAAGAAGCTTAAATTGTATGAATAAAATCTGACTGTTGGAAGCACCCCTGTCAATGATATCTTGTTTGTCCCTACACTGTAACTGTCAAATTGGACTGCTTGACTTGCACTTAAAGTAGTTATAAACCTCAACCATGAAATATAAATAAAGCACATCCCTCTATCATGTGTAATTGTCACAATTACAAGCACTAAGTGTCAGTTCTGTCTGCTGCCTTGTTTCTCTGCTATCAGCATCACTCACTTCTGACAAGTATTCCTGACACCAAGAAAAAAATGGTGAAAGGGGAGGGACCTCCAGCAAATTGACAGCCTCAGCTCTGTTCTCGTGAGCTGCGTGGGGGGGGGGGGGGGTGTCTCTTACTTCCAATCATCTATCAGAGCTCTCCTTACTGAGCTCTGAAGAGTGTAATTTCATCTCTCTGCCCCCTTTTTTCTGAACTCTCAAACAAGCTTTATAAATTCTGCACTTTGAACAGATGTAGAGAAGAGAATATTGCAGATAAACGCGTACAACTTAAGTAGGAGGATGTGTTTCATCCAGGGGTGGACTGACCATTCGAGCACTCGGGCACTGCCCGAGGGCCCGGGGTCAATAGGGGGCCCCATGAAATGCCCCTGGTACCTTTTTTATAGGCTTTTTTGAGTGTGGGCAAGGACACAGGGGCCCCATGGTCCCCTATTACCCGGGGGCCCCATGAGTTGTCAGTCCGCCCCTGGTTTCATCTGTGTATCACTTAAGGCCAGTTACTTCACTAGGTATATGAAAGGGTTTACAACCACTTTAACTGTATACAGTGGGGATCGAAAGTTTGGGCACCCCAGCTAAAAATTTGTATTAATGTGCATTACATTATTACATTACATTGAGTTTATATAGCGCCAAAGGGTTTGCTCAGCGCTGTACAATAGAGGGGGGGACAATACATGAAACATTACAGCAACTACAAACAGCACACGAGGGGTTATAGGGCCCTACTCTTTCGAGCTTACAATCTAGGAGGGAGGGGGTAGTGGTACAGGAGGAAGTGGCTGTGGGGGATGGAGTGGTAGGAGGAATGAAGGAGAGCAGCAGTTAGGTGAGGGTGGGGTAGGCTTCCCTGAAGAGGTGGGTTTTCAGGGAGCGCCTGAAGGTGAGGAGGGAAGGTGACAGTCTGATGGATTGGGGTAGTGAGTTCCAGAGGATGGGGGAGGACCTGGAGAAGTCTTGCAGACGTGCGTGTGAGGAGGAGACCAGGGAGCAAGATAGAAGGAGGTCCTGTGAAGAGCGAAGGGTACGGGTAGGGTGGTACTTGGGAATCAGGTTGGTGAGGTAGTTAGGGGCAGTGTTGTGAATGGCTTTGTAGGTCAGAGTGAGTAGTTTGAATTTGATGCGTTGGGCGATAGGGAGCCAGTGGAGGGAGAGGCAGAGGGGGGTGGCAGAGGTGGAGCGGGTGGTGAGGTGGATGAGTCTAGCCGCTGAGTTGAGGATGGTCTGAAGCGGGGGAGAGCCTGCACTGGGGTAGGCCGGTGAGGAGGGAGTTGCAGTAGTCAAGGCGTGAGATAATCAGGGAGTGCACAAGTAGTTTAGTGGTGTCTGGGGTAAGGAAGGAGCGTATTTTGGCGATATTGCGGAGGTGGAGTCTGCATGTGTTTGTAAGTGATTTGACATGAGGTTGGAAGGAGAGGTTAGAGTCCAGAATGACTCCAAGGACTTTGGCTTGCGGGGCGGGATTGATGGTGGTGATGTTAGTAGTGATGGATAGGATGGGGGGGGGCGCGCGGGCAGGAGGGAAGACGAGAAGCTCGGTTTTGGAGAGGTTGAGTTTGAGGAAATGGAGCGACATCCAGTCAGAGATGTCGTTTAGGAGGTGAGTGATGCGGGCGGAGAAAGTGGAGGTGAGGTGAGGGGTGGAGAGGTAAATTTGAGTGTCATCAGCATAGAGATGGTAGTTGAAGCCGTGGGAGTGTATGAGTTTGCCAAGGGAGGAGGTGTAGATGGAGAAGAGAAGGGGTCCAAGGACAGAGCCCTGGGGGACCCCAACAGAGAGGGGGAGTGAGGGGGAGGTGGCACCATTGTAGGTGACACTGAAGGAGCGTCGGGATAGGTACGAGGAGAACCAGGAGAGAGCGGTGTCTCTGATGCCAAGGGAGAGTAGTTTATTAAGGAGGAGGGGGTGGTCAACTGTGTCGAAGGCCGCGGAGAGGTCCAGGAGGAGGAGGACAGAGTAGTCGCCTTTGGCTTTGGCGGTTAGTAGGTCGTTGGTGATTTTGAGGAGGGCGGTTTCGGTGGAGTGTAGGGGACGGAAGCCGGACTGTAGTGGATCAAGGAGGTTGTTGTCAGTTAGGTGGGCGCTTAGGCGGTTGTAGACTAAGCGCTCCAGGAGTTTGGAAGTGAGTGGCAGCAGGGAGATGGGTCTGAGGTTGTTTGGGTCAGAGGGGTCCAGGGAGGGCTTTTTGAGTATGGGGGTGATGTGCGCATGCTTTAGGGGGGAGGGGAATACGCCTGCATAAAGAAGCCAAGGAAAGATGGAAAAATCTCCAATGTCCGATGGCTTCTTTATGCACATTAATACAAATTTTTAGCTGCGGTGCCCAAACTTTCGATCCCCACTGTATATATATAAATAAAAAATAAAAGGTATGTGAAATAAGGAAATGGAATACATATACTGAACCATCATTACAGGTACAGTTAGGTCCATATATATTTGGACACAGGCACAATTTTCATACTTTTGGCTCTGTATGCCACCAGAATAAATTAAAACAAAACAATATAAATTAATTTGAAGTGCAGACTTTCAGCTTTAATTCAAGGGGTTGAATATACTGTAAATAGCAAGTACAAATTTTGGGAACTGCAACCATTTTTATACACAGTCCTTCCATTTTCAGGGGCTCAAATGTAATTGGATAACTTAATATAATCAGAAATAAAATGTTCATTCTTAATATTGTGTTGAGAATCCTTTACTGGCAATGACTGCCTGAAGTCTGGAACTCATGGACATTACCATAGACTGGGTTTCCTCCTTTCTGATGCTTTGCCAGGCTCTATCTGCAGCTGTCTTCAGCTGTTCTTTGTGAGTCTTTCTTACAATGGCCTGCTTCACTTGCATGGACAGCTCATTTGAACGCATGATGTAGGTTCACAGCAATAGATTTCAAATGCAAATACCACACTAAGGGCTCATGTACAGGAGCAGCTGCTAATTTCGAGTTTAGGAACTTTTGGCATTTTTTTTGCCAAAGCTCCTAAACTCAACTCCATAAAAGCCTATATGTCCATGTACACAACGGATTTTAGCAGAGTTTAGGAGCTGCCGCGGTTAAGTGAGGTTAAACCTCCTTCTCCTGAATGCAGAAGAATCACATTCAGGATAGGAACGTTTTGAACGCCGGCCGTGGGAAAACGTGGCAAAACCGTGTTTTTCCACGGCCGGCGGTAAGCGTAGGTTCGTGTACATGGAGCCTTAGAATCAACTCCAGACCTTTTACCTGCTTAATTGAAGAAGAAATAACAAAGTAGTAGCCCACACCTGGCCATGAAACAGCTTTTGATTGAATTGTCTAATTACTTTTGGTCCCTTGAAAAAGGGGGGCTGGTTACTCTTAAGAGCTGTAATTCCTAAACCCTTCCTCCAATTTGATGTACATACCCTCAAATTAAACCTGAGAGTGTGCACTTTCAGCCCATATCCATTATATAACTATAACTTGAATATGTTTTGGTAAATACCTGAAAAAAACTAAAATTGTGCCTGTGTCCAAATATATATGGTCCTAACTGTATTAACCTGAAACATCAGAATACAATATTTTTCAAATAGTGCACCTTTTTATTCCACTCCATGAGTAAGATATCACAGCTGAGTAACTTATTACAGGTGATCAACTGTGAGATTTTAGAATCAGTTAGCCTATTATGCCTTTGCATCTTCTGATACAATTCTGTTTATTTGGTGTTTTCCCAGAAATACCATCTCCAAAGGCACCACCCATTGTACCCCTTCCTCCACCTAAATCAGAAGGTGCTCCAGTAAAAGAGACAAAGAAGGTCGCTGAAGTGAAATCTGCGCCTAGACGACAACCCAGCAGAGAAATAAGAGAGATAATAAAGATGTATCAAAGTCGTCCCCAAGAAGAACCGAAACCCTACGAACCAGTCAGGTATGACACCAGTTAAAGCAGATTTGTAGCAGTTTGTATCCTCCCCCCCCCCCCCCCCCTCCACTGCCACATTTGGCACTTTTCGGAGGGAGCAGGTACCTGATTTTGGCAGGTACACGCTCCCACTTCCAGGTCAGACCACCTCTATCTTGCCACGGCAGCCTTCTGAGACACTTCACAGGACCCAGAAGACTGTGGGACCAATCACAAAGCGCAGCATGCTTCGTAGGAAAACCAGCTGTGAAGGCGCACACTTAAGATGCTGACCCCTGCACCCGAAGCCGATTGAAGAATCTTCTTGGGTGAGGACATTGCTGGATCCCTGAACAGGTAGTGTCCCAGTGTCCCTATATTGTATTAAAAGTCAGCACTTACAGTATTTGTAGCTGCTGACTTTTCATTTTTTGGAGGAGCCTGGAGCTCTGCTTTAAGGCTCAATGCACACTATGCACACTAACTTATTTTCGAGCTCCTAGCAGCTAATTATAAGCATTTTTTCTGCCCCCAGAAGCAAATTGTGTTATCCTATGTATCCATGCACACTACTATTGTAGGCTAGAAGCGTTTTTCAAGCTTCAGCTTCTAGAAGCAGAAAAAAAAGGGTTTTTTTTGCGTTTATGGGAGCAATTTGCCAGCAGAAAAAAATGCTGAATGCTCCTAAACGCTCCTAAACCCTAGTTCCAGCAGTTTGTTCAGTGAATAGCTGGTTGTTAAGGAGTGGGCTGGCAAGCCGACAGCCATATCCTTAACTACGATTCCCCGCTGACAGCTGAGGGTAGATAAAGGAATTGCTGGCTTATTGGAATCTGTAAGCCCCTTTTAACAAGGGGGCTCCCAGATAATGGTCCCCTTCTATGTGAATGAGTATGGGGTACAATCCCCCAAAGTAAATCCAGCATTAATCATGTCAAACGCCACCGACCCAAAAAAAAAAAAAATAGGTCCACACCAGACACTGATTGACGCTGGATTTACTTCAGGGTACATTGTTGTTTGTTTTTTTATTAAATTACTTTTCAAAAACTGTCTGTGTTTTTATTTTACTTTTTTTTGGTGAATGAGTAGGGGTACAATGTATCCCATAGTCATTCACATAGGGGAATGGGGCGGGATCTGGAGGCCCCCCTTGTTAAGCCCACAGCCCAGGGTTGTGTGGGGAAGAGGCCCTTGTCCCCAACAATATGAGGACAAGGTGCTTTGGGAGAGGGGCCGACCTACCCCAAAGCAGCCCTCCCCCCCATGTTGAGGGCATGTGGCCTGGCATGGTTCATGTGGCCTGCCAGGATGCATGCTCAGATAAGAGTCTCTTATGGATTTTTGGGGGGACTCCCATGCCTTTTTTTATTTTTGTCATGGGGTACCCCTTAAAATCTATACCAGACCTGAAGGGTCTGGTAGGATTGGGTTTTTTTTTTTTTCCTCTAATTTTAATTGCTGTCAATCCCTTTGTTTACATTCAGCTGTCATCAGCTGATGAGTCATTGGTTGCTAAGGACACAGGGCGACCGGCTTGCTGGTCCGCTCATTACCAACCAGCAAAAAGCTAAAACAAAAACAGAAAAACGTGGTTAAAACATTAACATTAACGTTTCTTATTCTGTGTTTTTCCAACCTTTTTTTTTCAGCTCCTAGTGTGCATGGAGATTAAAAAAAAAAAAAATCTCTTAATAGATCATTTCAAGTCAATCACCAGACAAACTGGTAAATAATATATGTCTTATTTGCAAAAGGATTTATAATTCTGTGCAGCCAGTGTTGAGACTCAGTCACCCCTGTCGTGTGGCAGAGCCAGGTCCTGCATTTCCTGTGTTGTCCCTGCTAACTATACTGCAGTTTAGCAATGCAGCTAAGTCTAAAAACCATTCGAGCTTGTTATTGGACAATGAAGGAGCAACAGGACATTAAAATCACTTGCCGACCACGCACAGTACATGTACTGCAGGTGGGCGACACAAAAAGGCAAAAGTATGTACCGGTATATGTACATCATTTTGCCTGTACAGACACAGGGGAATGCTGAACCACTCTAATGAAAGCATAAAAAAATAAATAAAAACTAATGTTAAAAAAAACATTTAAAATATTGACTACAAAATTATTTTTTGCATAAATTTATTTTTATGTAATTTTTTTTTTAACATGCTGTCACCAGCCAGTGTCCCTGATCACTGCCACACCAGTCATATCATTATGCTGCACTGCGATGGTGGTATGTAAAAAAAAAAATAGTGAAAAAATTATTCACACAGACAAACTGTAATTGCAGCAAAAGGTGGTTCTACAAAGTATTGACTCAGGGGGGCTGAATACAAATGTACGCCACACTTTTTACATATTTATTTGCAAAAAAACTTCACAATTATGTGCCACTTTGTGTTGGTCTATTATATAAAATCCCAGTAAAATACATTTATGTTTTTTGTTTGTGACATAACACAATGTGGAAAATTTCAAGGGGAGTGAATACTTCAAGTCACTATAACTTTCACTATAACTTTCCTACAGACTTTGGCCTCAATTTATTAAGACATTTTATTTTTTTATATTTTGTATTGGATATATTTTATAATAGAAAATATTGTTTTATTTTTCAAAATGTTTGGTCTTTTTTCATTTATATAATAAAAAAAAAGTGGAGATCAAATACCACCAAAAGAAAGTTCTATTTGTGTGAAAAAAATGATATAAATTTCATTTGGGTACAGCGTTGCATGACCACACAATTGCCAGTTAAAGTAGCGCAGTGCCACATAGCAAAAAATGGCCTTGTCAGGAAGGCGGTAAATCCTTCTGGAGCACAAATGGTTAATTAGGTCATCACTCTGCTCTCCTCTCCTGTAAGCTTGTTCACACAAAGCAACAGAGCCTTGATTGGCTCTGTTGGACCACTTCTCCCAATCTGGGCTGTGCTACAGGTGGCTGATAGACTCAGATGTATAAAAAAAATATTTGTTACTTTCTAATGAAAAAACGTGATTCATTTTAAAATCATCCTCACATTCATCTTTAAAATAACCGTGATTGCCCACCTTCACTTTGAGGCCCCCTTCCCAATAGCACATTACCTTTGCTGCTCTGTGTAACTTGTGAGTTTCTCTAGTTTAAGCATATACTGTATTTCTGCCCCCATATGACAGCACTTAATAAAAAGATCAAGGACCAAGGTTGTCACATGAGCTATAGGGGGGTTACTTGCTCCTCCATACCTCCAAACCAGTTATTTTCTTTACTCCAAAACATAATTTATGTCTGTGCTTTCTTGAAATTGGTGCCATTATAGTTTGAATGATCCTTTTTTTTACTGTACTGCAGGAGAACAACCCAAACCTTCCTAAAGAAGAAAGACCCCAAAGAAGAGGCCCTGGAGAGACTCCGGAACTCTGCCCCTCCTTCAAATGGGGTAAGGCCAGTAAAAAAATACTGGATCATTCAATAAGACAATGTAAAGAGAAGTTGGGATGTGAAAATGCATTAATGCTGGCAATAAAAAAACAAAATTATTGTTTGATATAATAGCCATGTTGATAAAGTGGCTACCCAATCAGAAACTGGGTAGTTTAATCAATATTGATCATATTCACGGTGGAAAATGTGGCAAATTTGGGCTTTGGCATACAGCAGCAGAGGTGACACAAAGCCATTTTCTAACTGTAATCCATTTCCAGGAGTCCATTGAGGAACACAGCCCAATAATAATCAACCTAGGGTTATCTGCTGCCCAAGGGAAAAATGGATGCTGGGCTCATAGAAAATTGAAGACCAGCCCCCTTGAGGCTTTAACCCTTCTGACCTCACACATTTTAAGTTTCTTGAAGGTATTCCAAAAGAAAGCAATAACATATTAGAGAAAAGATCTGTGTCCCTCAAAGGATGTAATGGAGGGGGAACACAATAAGGCAGGAAAACTATCCCAAAAAACAAAGTAAAATGGAAACCGAGCACATTAAGAAGCTTATGTGGAACCTTGCAACAAAATTTAGCATCTGCCAAAGCACACACCTTAGAACCTAGAAAACATATGTACAGAAGACCAGAACACAGCCTTTAAGATCTGAGAAACAGAGACCTGTTGATGAAAAGCTCAAGAAGCACTCACAGCTCTAGTGCAGTGGATTTTTCCATAAAGAGAAGTCGCACCATTTTGCAATTCATAAGCCTGCACAACAATAAACTTCACATATTTATATGTAAAATTAAGTTTTATTTAATGATTTAAAAATAAGATAATTGATATTTAGAAACATAAAGGGGAATGGTATTTTACCTCAACATGTTTTGCACTGAAGCTTTTTTAGGAGAATAGAAGAAGGTTAATCTATAATCCATAATGTCAATAACAATCAACATTAATTTTCATGACATTATAACAAAATCATCATCTATATGATTACATGCACTAACATTGCACATTTGCCAATCCAAGAATCAGAAAGAGCATTCACTAACCAATAATGCCTCCCATGTGGAACAATGGAAACAACTTGCTGAATCTTCTTAGAAATAGCAGATCTGGAAGCAAGCCTTCTGGAATAACATTACAAAACAAGAAAAAGAGGGTGCATCAGTCTTGTGCTTTACCTCCAAACAATTTTATTACTAAATGAAACAAGCAATATACTCATTTCAGAGCCAGGGCTCTGAAGAAGAGGCCTCGTCCCTTGAAACGTGTAAGCCGCATAAGACACTGAAAGGTCTTCCCATGCTATCAGTTGAGCGGTGCGGAGCTGGAGGCAGTCTCTTCTGAATTTTATGCTACATTTACTATTTACATGCATTTGTGAGTATGTAGTGTTGTGTTGTAGTATTGTATGGAAGGATACCCACAAGTCCTGAAAGGTGGCAGCAAGGCATGCCAGGGCCATATTGGGAAGCCGGGAAAGCAGACAGTGTACTAAGTCCTTAAGCACCATAACCAAGCGCAGGAGGTTGTTCTTTGATTTATCTTCTGGAATAGCAAGCAGGGAATCCATCTGTGTAATAGAGGCAGTGTCCAAGATGTAAATCCTGGCTGCCCTCACCACATCCAAGTAAAAGGGAAAGATTTCCCAAGATTTGTGTTGAATCCATGACCAGATCTAGGAGGATGCTGGGGTGGGCTGTGCCCCCTCAGATTTCAGTGGCATCTAGACATGTGCAATTCGTTTCTTTACAAATTGAAATTCGGACAACATTTTCATTATTTGGAGATTCGGATGTATCCAAATTTTTGAATCAAAATAGCATTTCAATCCTAACAAATTTTAAATACGTTTTTACAAAGACAAATTAACTGAATTCAAAAATGAATTTGAATTAAAAAATTAATTTGACTTTGAAAATGAATGCGAAATGGAAACATGGATTTAAAAGTGAAATAGGATGATGATTTCTACTTAGGCTGCTTTATAGAATAACATAGAATAGAATAGAAAATGAAAGAATAGATTAGAACAGAATAGAGCAGAACAGAAAAGAATATAGCTGTCTTCCGAAATATGAACTTCAAATACAATAAAATAGAATATAACCGTCTTCTGAAATTCGAGTTTCAAAATAGTAGAATAGAAGTGAATAACAAAGAGAGAACATTGTAATCTTCTGAAATTCTAATTCGAATCGATTTGAAAATAATGAATATACAAAATGAATGCGAATATATGAAACAAATTCCAAAAACAAATCATTCTAATATAATGAATATGAGGAAACAAAAGTATTAACTTAAAGTGTTACTGTAACGTACATGTAAGATTTGAGTAGCTGAGATGTAACCTGTAGAAATATGACATTGTAGATTTAGTTCATTTCATGTTATAATAATATAAGATGTGTTCAGAATTAAGGCAGAGACATATGGTCACCAATTAGCATCTGAAAGGGACAGAGCATCCTCTGGATAAGATTTGTCACCTTCTGGGAAATCTGGAAGGAAAAGGCCGGAGACAGTTCGGCTTCATGACACAGCGGGAGACCAGAGGTGGCTCGGATGTGTCTGGGAGCTTTGAAGTATATCAGCAGATCAAAGGAATATATTTCCTCTCTCATAAAAGCTAAAATATTAGTTGCAGAGAGATGAAAATACTTATTTCTGATTGGACACACTGCAGGCTACACCTGCATGTAAAACTGTATTTGTAGCCTATGTAGGATCCCAAAGAAATGCAGAAAATGGTTATATGGCGCCTGATTGCGACAGCTGAACAGTGATTGGTACTGTCGCGATCGGACTGTTGTGCTGGTGTCGGAAATTCAATCCCTGACTTGGCGATTCAAACCGTTCCTGGTCCAATCGACTTTGGGCATTTCAGTACCCAGAACGTCCTGTGGGCTGGTACAGGAACACCCCCCCAGAGTCGATTGGTCAAGGGCTAATGTCCAGCCTACGTCCATATTCTCATAAATTGAGGTCCTGGGATATGGACGTTGTGATTCGTATGGAGCCAGTTCTATTGACTGACGGATTACGGACTTTTTCTGCCTTGCTCCAGTCGCAGGATAACTCTTGGTAAAAGTTTTATTTCTGTTTTTATTTCCCTTTTATTTTATAGTCGATAGCCAATTGTGTGTCTTCTTGTATTTTTTGTATTTCTTGTAACTTTTTATACTTTTTTATACTTTCGGGATTTTAAATCATAAAATGAATAAGTGACTTTCTGGGTACTTAAGCTCTGGCTCATATCTCCAGAGAGATTGTATTGCATTGTATTGCAGTGTCTTTATATGCTCGGTCAAGTTCATTGCCAATCTGTATGCAATTGCACTGCGTGTTGGCAGATTGCATGCAGATTGTAAAGGTAACAGGTCTGCCAGACGGAGATCTGTGTGTGTGGTGGCCCAGAAGGCCAGTAAAACTGTTGGGTGGTGGCAAGCTACCGTTTGTGGTGTGTCTGGTGGGGGGGGGGGAGTGTGGACAGTGGAAGAGTGATTAACATCGGGGTTCTAGCTTGTAGGATAGCTGGAGGAATCCTAGAAGGGTGTGCAATTGCTAGGCTGCTCCTCAACCCTTAGGGTGCACCAGATTGTATATAAGATTCGTGTCTGCCTGTGTGTGTGGTCAGCCAGCTGGATTGGAGTGAAGTCTCCCTCTAGTGGTGACCAGAGGTAGTGCGGGCTGTGAAAGTATATCATGGCCGGTCTTATATACTTATATATATTCAGATTAATTCCCCCTTATTCCCTCTTACCCCAAGTCACGGCCGCACGTGCACGCCTCGGTTAGCTAGTCGCTGTGGGCGTGTGGGTTGAATCCGTTACAGTTACTAAACCCACAACAGTAAAATCAGTCTGATCAGTCTGCAGTAAAGCATGTTTGATATACTTATTGTGGAACCTAAGAGGTTAATCCTCTGCATTGTGTAAAAATGCTGGTTGATCCTGACTTCTGTGATCCTTCCCTTCTTCCAGTGCCCCCCTCTTATCTCCTGATAAGACTTATTGTGTGGAGACACTCCACACATGCTCAGTTTGATGTGTATTGCTAGAGAGGTTTTTTTTTTTTTTGGGAGAGTGCATATGATCGGCACAGGGCCAATCAGCACTGTCCAGACAGAAGTCAGGGGTTCTGCATTCTCCTAGAGCAGGAAGAAAACTCCTCCTGCAGGCTTTAACATGTGCTCAGCTGGACACTGATAGATTCACAAGACTGCTCTAATTGCTGATGAGAAAAGGTATTTAGCAGTTTATATTTACTAAAATAATTGCATTTCCATGTTATGTGTACTGTGGGAGACCAGATATAGTGAATTCAGGGTCCTGTGTTTAGTAACACTTTAATTATGTAAAAGAACAGAAATAGAACAAAACAGGTGAAAAACACAAAAACTTACAAAAACATCCAAAGCTGGCAGGGAAACAGCATCATGGACTCCAGGACTGTAGGGAGGCCAAGAGGAATACCAACCAGAGAACAATCCAAGTGCCATACCACAGACAGTAGTCAGATGACTCCAGGTATACAAAGCAACTGAAAGTAACAATCAGATCATTCAAGTGTCTGGAGTATACAGTGACAAATCATTCAGGAACCAGCATACAAAGTAAAGGGCAAAAAGAAGTTTGGCCTCCAGTTTCAGATGTCTTACGCCAGTATACACTTCAACCTCAGATGCCTTATAGCGCTATTAGCTGTAAAATGGTGTTGTGCTAAAATAGAGTACTAGGTTTTAGCTCACCTAATAAAAACTATATATATAATAGCACTGCAATCTGGTGTGTATACTAACCTCAGAAGTATGGGTTGAAAGCAAGTCAAAGTCATAGGATATCATATACGGCAACTCCTACTTCAAACTGGTATACATCAGGTGAACGGCATATTCAATACATCCTCAAATCCGGTCACAGGAGAATTTTATTAGCACTGGAATCAAAACAAAAGAAAGGTATTAATGAATGTCCTAGTCTCACACCAACAAAAAAACACAAGCCAAAATCAACCAATCCAAGGTACATGTGGAAGACATAAAATCCACCATTAGGACAAGACGCTATATTAACATCCATCCACATACAATATATTGCAAAAAGTATTGGAACGCCTGCCTTTACATGTTCATGAACTTGACATCCCAGTCTTAGTCTGTAGGGTTAAATATCGAGTTAGCCCACCCTTTGTAGCTATAACAGCTTCAACTCTTCTGAGAAGGCTGTCAACAAGATTTAGGATTGTGTCTATGGGAATGTTTGACCATTCTTCCAGAAGTGCATTTGTGAGGTCAGGCACGGATGTCAGACGAGAAGACCTGGCTCGCAATCTCTGCTCTAATTCATCCCAAAGGTGATCTAATGGGTTAAGGTCAGGACTCTGTGCAGGCCAGTCAAGTACCTCCACCCCAAACTTGCTTATCCATGTCTTTATGGACTTTGCTTTCTGCACTGGTGCGCAGTCATGTTGGGACTGGAAGGGGCCATCCCCAAACTGTTCCCACAAAATTGGGAGCAAGAAATTGTCCAAAATGTCTTGGTATGCTGACACCTTAAGAGTTCCCTTCACTGGAACTAAGGTGCCAAGCCCAACCCCTGAAGGTGCCAAGCCCAACCCCTGGCACCCCCACACCATAAACCCCCTTCCACGAAGCTTGGCAACCTCTAAACCCAGACACGTCCATCGGATTGCCAGACAGAAGCATGATTGGTCACTCCAGAGAACACGTCTCCACTGTTGTAGAGTCCAGTGGCGGCGTGTTTTACACCACTGCATCCAACGCTTTGCATTGCACTTGGTGATGTAAGACTTGGATACAGCTGCTCGGCCATGGAAACCCATTCCACGAAGCTCTCAACGCACTGTTGTGCTAATCTGAAGGCCACACAAAGTTTGGAGGTCTATAGCTATTGACTCTGCATTAGTTGGCGACTTCTCCGCACTGTGCAATTTAACATACACTGACCCCGCTCTGTCATTTTACTTGGCCTACCACTTGGTGGCTGAGTTGCTGTTGTTCCCAGTTGCTTCCACTTTGTTACAATACCACTAACACCTTGGAGTTGACCTTGGAGTATTTAGTAGCAAGGAAATTTCATGGATGGACTTATTGCACAGGTGGCAATCTATCACGGTACCATGCTTGAATTCCTCCTCCTTGCTCCACACACCTGAGAGCGACCCATCCTTTCACAAATGTTTGTAGAAGCAGTCTACATGCCTAGGTGCTTGATATTTTTATACCTGTGGCCATGGAGGTGATTGGAACACCTGAATCCAATGATTTGGAGGGGTGTCCCAATACTTTTGTCAATATAGAGTATGTCAAGTCATCACACACCTCCAAGCCCTCAACACATGCTGGGTTGTCTCCAGTATATATTCCCTGGGCCTCCTGAGGATCCTCCTCATAATCCTCCCAAAATCAGCCCTGACCAACCAATAAGGAGGAGAGTGCCATAGGAGTCAGGGAGGGTCATCTCCCCATTGGTAGAGACCACACAAGTCACTCAATGCAGCATGTGGTTGTCTCCTTACAAGCAAAATGCAAAGCTGTAGAGTTTGTCTGTTGTCAGATCTTCAACCAATCTTCAATGTGCACCACAGAGATCAGTGGAATATGAAACTCTGCCACTGTACCTGTGTCTCCTTTGGCACTTTTTCACAACACTCCTGTTTCCTATCCTGATGTAAGTCAAAGCTGTGGCATTTCTGAATTCTGGATGACTGGTAAGAAGGGGCCCAATGAACTAGCAAGCCAAAAGAAAGTGTTTCAGAGACACAACAGGAAGTTTAATCGAAATTCCCCAAAGTGGGAGGAATTTACCTCTTAAACAGTTATTGCTGGAACACATGTCCCCATTGAAAATTTGTTCCTTAGCTTTTGTTCTGAAGACAACCTTAAAGTTTGGGATTTTCCCTACTTTCTGTTTCTGTGACAATAGTAATCCGAGTGGGAAATCTACACAATGACGACACATGAAATATACACCGATCAGCCATAACCTTACCAATCACTGACAGGTTAAGTGAACAATATTGATTATCACATTAAAAAGGCATCTGAAAGTCAGTGGGATATATTAGTCAGCAAGTAAACATGTTGTCCCTGAAGTTGATGTGTTGAAAGCAGAAGCTGCAGAGCTACAGACCAGTCAGGGTGTCCATGCTGACCCGTGTCTGCTACCAAAAACACCTACAATGGTCATGTGAGCATCAGAACTGGACCACAGAGCAATGGAAGAAGGTCTGATGAATCATGCTTTTTTTATGTCATGTGAATGGCTGGGTGTGTGTGCATTGCTTACCCTGGTAATAGATGGCACCAGGGTGCAGTGAGGAAAGAAGACAAGCCAGCAGAGACAATACTCTTCTGGGTCCTGCCATTCATGTGGATGTTACTTGACAAGTACCACCTACCTAAACATTGTTGCTGACAAAGTACACCCCTTTATTGAAATGGTATTCCTTGATGGCAGTGGTCTCTTTCAGATGGATAATGCACCCTGCCAAACTGCAAAAATGGTTCTAAAATGTTTGATGTGTTAACTTGGCCTCCAAATTCTCCAGATCTCAATCCAATTGAGCATCTGTTGGATGTGCTGGAGAAACAAATCCAATCTTCAGAGGCCCCACCTTGTACCTCAAAGGATCTGCTACTGATAGCTTGGTCCCACATGCCACAGCATACCTTCAGAGGTCTAGTTGTGTCCATGTATTTTTGGGTAAGGGCTGTTTTGGGTTCAAAAGGGAACCTACTCAATATTATATTATATTTATTTATTTATTATTACATAGTATTTATTTATGACTATTTTTATTTACTTGTGTATTTATTTAACATTTATTTAACATTTATGTATTCATTTATTATTATTACCCTAACAAAAAATAATAAATTAATAAAATAATTAATAAATTCATAATAGTAAAATAATACATTCATAATAATAATTAAAAAAAGAAAGAAAAGCTGATGGAAAAGCTGAAGCAGAAAAACCTAGCAACAAATGCACCAGATGATAAGTTTCTCTATTGGTTAATAAAAAAAAAAAAATGCCAAATCTCAAAAACGGCTAAACACGCTGTATGAAAACACACAAAAATGCGGTAAAATATGCGTGAAAAAATGCAAAAACGCTATGCTAAGATGTGAATGGAGCCTAACAGGCTGCTTTCACACTGATGCGCTAGTGTTTACCTGCACAATAGGTGCACTGAGCCCTTCTATTACATCTTTCAGGTGCTTTGGTGTGCTTTCAGAAAGTGCACCAAACATGCAGGTTATAATAGAAGTCTGTGGCTCAGTGCAGCTAATGTGCAGGAAAGCCACAAGTGCATTGCGCTGTACCCATGGAACAGTGTAAAAAGCAGCTTAATAATCTTTTTTTTTTATAATATCCCCATTGCAAATGTGCAGTGTTTGTGATACTTAATACACTGACCTTTTCCCCTTTCAGCTTCTGCTGGCTTCCCTCTCCAGGCTGCTTGGAAGGTCCCAGGCAAAGTGCACTTGGTATCACTCCGCCTGGGTAAGGAACCAGCACTACAGAGGAAGAATTGGCTTATGTGACTCCTGCTCCCTCCGGATTCACCTGCACTGACTCCATGCACTCTGATGTTCTAAGATGGTGGGTTGGCAACCCATTGATTGTGATCTGGCCTTGCCAACCCACCATCCCAGAGCATGTGCTTACCATGTGCTACGTCTGGCCTGCAGGCCATGGTTTGGGCACCCTAATCTAACCCTTCCCCATGCCATCCAAAACTAAAACAAAAAGTATTGTCTAAAGATACACTTTAAAAGGAACATTTTCCAACAGCAAAAGGCCTGCTACAAAAGCAGATGAACTTCTACTGTCCTGATAACTATGCAAGGAATCCCCAAAAAATACTGACCTGCCCTAAATCATTGAGCCCTGTGCTAACTGAAACAAAGGCAGGTTGTCACTACTGACTGCAAGACCATTGCAAAGAGAATACCAGTATACTTTATGAATTAGGCCAAATCTTGTTGGCCAACTGGATAGTTTTCCAGAAGTTCCAATATCCAGCCTGAATTTACTAGTAGCTGTTGATCATAGAAACAAATCTTCAAATTCAAGTGTTATACTGTGGTTAGTAAGTTTAAGAGTGCAAGAGGGGTAACAAAAGACTTTGGGCCCGGTAGGGATGGGGGGGTTATACAGTTGGCCTTGGTTACTACATTTTGCATTTTATTTGTAACACTTTCATTTATTTCAGTGCCCACTTTTGTCTTCTGAATAATTTAGATTTTTTTTATTTAAAGAAACTGTGTCATGCAGCTAAAAGTGCCAGAAAACTCTGTCTCTGCAAAAAAAAAGGTGAATACTTACCTCTCCTGCTCCCATCAGCTCTGAATGTTGCTCCATTGAAGTGAACTCACTGAACGAACACCAGTATACTTTATGAATTAGGCCAAATCTTGTTGGCCAACTGGATAGTTTTCCAGAAGTTCCAATATCCAGCCTGAATCTATTAGTAGCTGTTGATCATAGAAACAAATCTTCAAATTCAAGTGTGATACTGTGGTTAGCCAATTTAAGAGTGCAAGAGGGGTAACAAAAGACTTTGGGCCCGGTGAGGATGGGGGGGGTTATACAGTTGGCCTTGGTTGCTACATTTTGCATTTTATTTGTAGCACTTTCATTTATTCCAGTGCCCACTTTTGTCTTCTGAATAATTTAGATTTTTTTTATTTAAAGAAACTGTGTCATGTAGCTAAAAGTGCCAGAAAACTCTGTCTCTGCAAAAAAAAAAGGTGAATACTTACCTCTCCTGCTCCCATCAGCTCTGAATGTTGCTCCATTGAAGTGAACTCACTGAACAAAATTTGTTTAGAAATCCAAGCATTTGTAACAGCAATGCACAAAAACAAATAATGACTGTTCTTTTTTTTTTTTTTTTTTTTGATCTTCAAAGGCACCACCTCTTCCTCCTCCACTTTTTCCTGCAGAAAAGAGCGAGCCATCAAATTCTATTCGAGAGAAGCAAAAGCCACTTTTAGGACTCTTTTCATCTGGCTTAATACCACCAGTCCCAGTTCAGGCTCCAAGGGGTACAGGTAAAAAAGAAAAAGCAAGATTTTTTTTAATAACCTTTTTTTTTTCTAAACATCCTGTAATTTCTTCTTCAAACACATTCTGTTTTATTCAGTTTAACAATTGAATTTCCTTTGCTTTCAGGGCGAACTCTTGAAGGTGACCACACCACTAGGTCAGCTCTCATCAAACATAGTGCCAGTGTCTACTTCTCCTACAGTGATGTAAACTGGAGACTATATGTGCGGAAGGAAGTAAGTCAGTATGGGTAGAGTTTTTAAAATTAAGCACACTCCCATTACAATGGGGTTGTGTCAGTGCAATGTATTCATACAGTTTACAATAAGACACACTGATATATACAGTGTGTGTGTGTATACAGTGCTTTGAAAAAGTATTCATACCCCTTGAAATTTTCCACATTTTGTCATGTTACAACCAACCAAAAACGTAAATGTATTTTATTGGAATTTTATGTCATAGACTAACACAAAGTGGTACATAATTGTGAAGTGGAAGGAAATGATAAATGGTTTTCAAAATTGTTTACAAATAAATAGCTGAAAAGTGTAGCATGCATTTCTATTCAGCCCCCTTTACTCTGATACCTCTAACTAAAATCTAGTGGAACCAATTGCCTTCAGAAGTCACCTGATTAGTAGATAGAGTCCACCTGTGTGTAATTTAATCTTCGTATAAATACAGCTGTTCTGTGAAGCCCTCAGAGGTTTGTTAGAGAACATTAGTGAAGAAACAGTATTATGAAGGCCAAGGAACACACCAAACAGGTTATGGATAAAGTTGTGGAGAAGTTAAAGCAGGGTTAGGTTATAAACAAAATATCCCAAGCTTTGTACATTATTATTATTATTATTATAATACAGGATTTATATAGCGCCAATAGTTTGTGCAGCGCTTTACAATATAAGGAAGACAGTACAATTAAAATACAGTTCAGTACAGAAGGAATATGAGGGCCCTGCTCATGGAGCTTACAATCTAAAGGAAGGGGGAGGTGATACAAAAGGTGATAGCTGTGGGGGATGATCTGGTGGAAGTGATTCAAGAACAGTTCCTAGGTGGAGGTGAGGTAGGCTTTCCTGAAAAAAGCGAGTTTTCAAAGATCGCCTAAAGGCAGACAGGGTGGGGGAGGTGATACAAAAGGTGATAGCTGTGGGGGATGATCTGGTGGAGGTGATTCAAGAACAGTTCCTAGGTGGAGGTGCGGTAGGCTTCCCTGAGTAAGTGAGTTTTCAAAGATCGCCTAAAGGCAGACAGGGTGGGGGCTGACAGGACATACTGTGGTAGGGAGTTGCAGAGGATGGGAGAGGCTGTGGAGAAGTCCTGGAGGCGAGCGTGGGAAGAGGTGATGAGGGAGCTAGAGAGGAAGATGTCTTGGGGAGGAGCGGAGTGGGCGATTTGGGCGATATCTGCAGATGAGGTTGGCGATGTAGCTAGGGGCAGTGTTGTGGATGGCTTTGTAAGCTGTGGTTAGCATTTTGAATTTTATATGTTGGGTTAGTGGAAGACAATGAAGGGATTCAGAGAGAGGGTCAGTAGTCACTGATCGGTTGGTAAGGTGCATGAGTCTAGCAGCAGCATTCATAATAGACTAAAGGGGGGATAACCTGTGTAACGGTAGACCAGTGAGGAGGGAGTTGCAGTAATCAAGGTGGGATATAACCAAGGCGTGGATAAGTTGTTTTGTGGTGTCATTGGTCAGAAAGGGGCAGATTTTGCAAATGTTCTGGAGGTTGAGGCTGCAGGATTTAGCCAGTGATAGGATGTGGTTCCCAAAGGAGAGATAAGAGTCTAGGATTACGCCTAGTACCTTGGCATTGATGGGAAGGACCAATGGTTGTGCTGTTGATCATAATGATACAGTCATGAGTGGGGGATCAGGGAGAATTAAATATTACAAGCTCGGTTTTGGAAAGATTGAATTTAAGGTAGTGGTGTGACATCCATGCTGATATGTCGCTTAGTAGATTTGTGATATGTAAGGAAATTGAGGGGGTGAGCTGGGAGTGGAGAGATAGATCTGGGTGTCATCAGCATAGAGGTGGTATTGGAAGCTATGGAAGGTTATCAATTGGCCCAGGGTGGAGGTGTAGAGAGAGAAAAGGAGTGGCCCAAGGACAGAACCTTGGGGTATCCCAACGGAAAGAGGGAGAGGAGGAGTTGTATGTGACGCTGAAAGTGTGCTGAGAAAGGTAAGAGGAGAATCAGGAAAAGAGCAGAGTCACGGAGGCCAATGGAGTGGAGTTTACTGAGGAGGAGCAGGTGGACGACTGTGTCAAAGGCAGCAGAAAGGTCAAGGAGCAGATAGTAGGTCGTTAGTGAGTTTTAGTAGGGTAGTAGTTTCAGTGGAATGTTGTGGGCGGAAGCCAGACTGTCGGGGATCAAGAAGGTTGTTGTTGGTGAGGTAGCAGTTCATATGGTTGTGAACAAGGCGCTCAAGAAGAATGGAGGCAAACGGGAGCAGGGAGATGGGTCTTAAGTTATTCAGACAGGTGGGGTCCAGCAAGGGTTTTTTGAGTATGAGGATAGCCAGTGCATGTTTGAGTGGGGAGGGAAAGGTGCTTATGGAGAGTGAGAGGTTGAAGATGTGGGTTAGAGAATTTAGGAAAGAGCAGGAAGGAGGCTGCAATAATCGTGAGGGGACAGGGTCCAGGGGACTCTTACGGAGCACTGTTCAATCCTTCATCCAAAAATGGAAAATGTATGGCACAACTACAAACCTACCAAGACATGGCTATTCACCTAAACTGACAGGCTGGGCAAGGAGAGCATTAATCAGAGAAGCAGCCAAGAGGCCCATGGCAACTCTGGAGGAGCTGCAGAGATCCACAGCTCAGGTCGGAGAATCTGTCCACAGGACAACTATTAGTCGGGCACTCCACAAATCTGGCCTTTATGGAGGAGTGGCAAGAAGAAAGCCATTGTTGAAAGTAAGCCATAAGAAGTCCCATTTGCAGTTTGCGAGAAGCCATGTGGGGGACACAGCAACATGTGGAAGAAGGTGCACTGGTTAGATGAGACCAAAATGTAACCTTTTGGCCTAAAAGCAAAACACTAGGTGTTGTGGAAAACTAACACTGCACATCACTCTGAACACACCATCCCCACCGTGAAACATGGTGGTGGCAGTGTCAGGATGCTTTTCTTCAGCAAGGACAAGGAAGCTGGTCAGATTGAGTTGATGGGAAGATGGATGGAGCCAAATACAGGGCAATCTTAGAAAACATGACCCTAAACATACAGCCAGAGCTACAATGGAATGGTTTAGATCAAAGCATATTCGCGTGTCAGAATGACCCAGTCAAAGAGCTAAATCCAATTGAGAATCTGTGGCAAGAGTTGAAATTTGCTGTTCACAGATGCTCTCCATCCAACCTGACATTTTGCAAAGAAGAATGGGCAAAAATGTCTCTCTAGAGCTGGTAGAAACATCCCCAAAAAGACTTGCAGCTGTAATTGCAGCGAAAGGTGGTTGGTCTATCACATAAGGTCCCATTAAAAAAATACATTCACGCTTTTGGTTGTAACATGGCAAAATGTGGAAAATTTCAAGGGGTATGAATACTTTTTCAAGGCACTGTGTGTGTGTGTGTGTATATATATATATCAATAAAATAAACAGGACAGCGATACAGACAATAAATGCTGAAAGTCCACATAAACTCTGTAACAAATCCTCAGTACATCAACAATGTTAAAATCCCCCTGAGTCAATAATCCAAATGTATCATAAGGTAACTGTTCATCAAAATAGCATGTGAAACATTCAAGTGAAAGCCTCAATAAGTGGGTATAAAAGAGCTCCCTTCCGTCCCAAGTGTTCAAGAGAAGCAGAAAAACAAAATCACCACTAGTGAGGGACCTTCACCTTCAGCCTCTCACCCAATGATTAGACCTACTAAACTTTGGTCTAATTGCTCTGTTAACCCTATTCTCCCTGGGTTAAGGGGATATCCACTGGATATGGGGCCTCCAAAGTTTTCAATGAAAGGCGATACACTGGTAATATGAACAGAGAAAAAATAGGGCATTGTTTACTCCCATTGATGCCAGGACATTTTCTACTTCCAATTGCCACAGTCTGGCCCTCGTTAAGTCTGGGGGACAGTAAACTGACCCTTTGTTTAAAAAGTTTAAAGACCCCTTGTAACGTACGTGTGACATGATGTAACATGCATGACATAAATGTACAGATTTGAGTAGATAAGATGTGATCAGTAGCAATATGTAATCGTAACTGTAGGGACATTCCATTGTCATTAAAGATGTATATTCAGTCAGAGGTACTCAGACACAGAGGCATCAATTAGCGGCTGAAAAGCCCGGCTTCCGGGATGTGACACCTTTGTGGTAATAAGGTTGTCACCTTCTGGTGAAACCGGTTTAAAGGAAGTGGTTCGAGACATTTCGGCTTCATGACAGCAGGGGGCTCGATCTGTCTGGGAGAGCTAAAAAGTATATCCATACATCAAAAGGGGTATGTTTCATATCTCATAAAAGCTAAAATATTAGTTGCAGAGAGGTGAACATACTCCCTTCTGTTAGGGCATTCTGTGCGCCATATCGACACCTAAAAATCATATTTGTGGCTTAGGTAGAAGGCCAGGAAAATGCAGGAAATGGTTAGGTGGCGCTGTATTGCGACAGTCGAATGGTGTTTGGTACTGTTGTGAACGGGCTGATGCGCTGGTGTTGGAAATCCAATCCCCGACTTGGTGTTTCAAGCTGGTCTTAGTCCAATTGAACTTGGGCAGGTCAGCACCCAGAACAACCTGTGGGCAGGTACAGGAGCAGCCCCCATAGTCAATTGGCCGAGGACTAATGTCCCGCCTATGTCCATATCCCCATAAATGGAGTACTTGGGACTTTTGTGATTCGTATAGAGCCAGTTCGATTTGACTGAAGGATTGCTGATGCTCTGGCTTGCTCCAGTCGCAGGATAGATCTTGGTAAAAGTTTTATTCTGTTTTATTCCCTTTTTATTTTATAGTGAATAGTCATTTGTGTGTCTTCTTGTATTTTTTGTATTTCTGTAACTTTTTATATTTTGTACATATTTTATGCACTGCCCACTTTCGGGAAATTAAATCTTAAAATTAATTAGTGACTTCTGTGTATTTAAGCACGTGCTCATATCTTCGGAGAGATTAGATTGGAGAGATTAGATTGGATTAGATTTGTATCGTATTTTAGTGCCTTTAAACGCTCGGTTAAGCTCATTGCCAATCTGTATGCAATTGCACTGTGTGTGGGCAGATTGCGTGCAGATTGTAAAAGGTAACAGATTGGCCAGACGGAGATCTGTGTGTGTGGGGTGTCCCAGCAGACCGTTCTGTGGATAAACTGTTGGGTGGTGGCAGGCTACCTTTTATGAGTGTCTGGTGCGGGGGGGGGTGTAGACAGTGGAAGGGTGAATAACACCGGGGTTCAAGCTGTAAGGTAGCTGACGGGACTCTAGAAGGGTGGGTAATTACTAAGCTGGTCCTCAACTCTAATCAGTGCACTAGATTGTATGTAAGATTTGTATCTGCCAGTGTGTGGTCGATCAGCTGGATTGAAATGGAGTCTCCATCTGGTGGTGGCCAAAAGGTAGTGCGGGCTGTGGAAGGATATCACGGCTGATCTTATATACGGTTTTATATATTCAAAGTTAAGTCCCCTTTATTCCCTCTTACCCCAAGTCACAGTCGCACGTGCGTGTCTTCGTTAGCTAGTCGCTGTGGGCATGGCGTGTGGGTGGATCCGTGACAACCCTGTTTTAGAGTGGAAAATGGTTGGGAGGATTTATCCTGTTTTTGTGAGCATTATGGAGATTTTCCCTCACTTCCTGTTTTGTCTCTAAGACAGGCAGTGAGCAAAATACCTGTTGTGGGGATACAAAGAGTAAAAGTGTAAAGAACTTCAGGTCAGTCAGGTTTGTATTGTTGGGTTTGTCCCTGTTTGGGAGAACATAGACACAGACAGCAAAAAAAAACTGACTGGGGTTATAAACCGTCCGCACTCTAGCAAAAGAAAAATTTGATTGGAGCTGCACTTTGAGCATAGAAAATAATCAGCAATTCATTTTCCTATGGCTCCTTGATCGTGGATTGCAGAGATTCAGCCCAAATAAAGTACAGATCATTTTTATCCAATGTATCACTCCTTCAAGCTTGTTGCATACTATATTACCTTGCCTTTGTGATCTGGGCTTCTCATGTGGCTAGACCAGGGGCGGACCGACCATTTAGAAACTCGGGCACTGCCCGAGGGCCCGGGGTCAGTAGGGGGCCCCATGAGATGCCCCTGGTACCTTTTTCCTAGGCTTTTTTGAGTTTGAACAAGGGCACAGGGGCCCCATGATCCCCTATTGCCCGGGGGCCCCTTGAGTTGTCAGTCCCCCCCTGGGCTAGACAGTTCAACTTTCAGATACTTGAAGAAATCTGTGCAGTTTTATTGGGTGGCACAGTTTTTGTCATGGCATTTTCACACAAAAATGTTTTAAAAACCTATACACTGTAACGCTGTACCTAAACATTTGGAAAATTATTTACAGTTATATGCAAAAGCATGGTTCTCATTTATACATTTTCATCTTCCTCAATGAATCATGCACCTCTACCTTAGAGATAAATGGTACTACCTAGAAAACATATGGAACACATACTATACATGCATTTTACTTTTGTTTTTACCTATGCAGTTGTACACAAAACATTTGTCAATGGATATTTAAAAAATTCATTTTTTAGTGAGATACTTTTCAAGGTTATAACTCACTACAACCTCACTCTGACCCCTTCCTTATCAGAGATCATTGATGCCTAGATCAAATTTAGTAGTGTCAGCATAAGGTGGTTTATGTGACAATGATACTGTGACAAATTTGCATACCTAGATAATTTTAATAACTTTATTTAGGGATTTTATTTGGTAGCTGGTTTTATTGGCTTAAGAATGCATAAAAACATAAAATCCAAATTGTGTTTTCTATGTTTTAATTAGTTTATATTTATTTTATCTTAAAGCGGTATTAAACCCAAAACCAAAAATGTAATATATGGCAGCTCATCAATCAATACATGTTGTGGCTGCATTCATTTTCTTTTTTTTTTTTTTTTGCTTTTTTCCTCTGTTTTTACCTGGTGATCTAGCCAGTGACACACCTCCTGTATTAGAGTGCCCCTACTATGAATGAGGGAACACAGGGGCAACTTTGGACAGCAGCATTGTCACTCTCGAGGAGGAGGGGAGTCCAACTCCAACTCACACTGCAATTACACGAACCACTGCAGCAACAGTTTTTTTAAGTGTTACTAAACCCACAACAGTAAAATCAGGCTGAATATGCAGTAAAGCATGCTTGTTATACTCACTGTGCAACCTAAGGGGTTAATCCTTTACACAAATCAGGGGAGCACTGATTTGTGTAAAAAGGCCTTTTGTTCCCATCTTCTCTGCTCCTCCCCTTCTCCTACTGTCCCCAATTCATCTGCTGATAGAACAGTGCTTTTGGGAGCAGTCTGCTATTGCTCAGTTTTGAACGTATAGCTTGAGAGTTTTCTTTCTCTTTGGGAGGGCGCTTGTGATCGGTACAGGGCCAATCAGCACTGTCCAGACAGGGGTCAGGGGTCATGCAGCCTCATAGGACAGTCAGAGGAGAATTAATATTCCTCCTAAAAGATTAACTAGTGCTCAGCGGGAGACTGCTATATATACTGCTGATGAGAAAAGGTATTTAGCAGTTTATATTTACTAAATTAATTGCATTTCCATGTTGTGTGTACTGTGGGAGACCAGATATAGTAAATGCAGGGTCCTGGGTTTAGTAACACTTAAAGGTTTTACATAAATAAAAGCTGATGATTGGAAACACCCCTATCAGGGGTAAATGGTTTGTCTCAACACTGTAACTGCTACATTTGCAAAACAGCCTGTTCTATTGAAAAACAACAGACTTACTAACAGGATCTCCTGGGAAAATTAAAGAAAGAAAGCCTTAAAGAAAAGTAATGTAGCCATCACATCTAAGAACTGGTATGCTGCAATATAATGTGTTTGCTTTTGATTTAATGCCACTTTAAGTACTGTAATAATTAGAGCATTAAACCTATAGCACTACCGATGAGCACTACACACTGAAGGTTACAGAGTTCATCTACAAGCTCAGGACTTTCTTTTTTTTAATGAAGGCTCCAGCTTGCAGGTGATCACTATACCATAGGTGAGATTTCAGACCTGATTGTCACTAGGCACCTGAATTGCCAAGGTTCATTCACATGAAACTTAGGAACCTCCCGTACAGATGTAACGTTTTACACTGGATTACTAGACAGGTCTGGAAGCCACAAAGCACAAAAAGATTCCTCACGACTCCTCTGTTTATACAATATTTGCTTACTCTGGAGTTTTTGGCCTAGAGCTTTAAGTAATCTTTAGGCCAAAACTTGCTCAGGTAGAGTAACGGTTAAAGTACTAAAAAATCTGTCACAAAGACAATAAATCCCCAGTTCCCCCCCTTCTGTATAGCATTAGCATGTTTTTCTTTCTTACTTCACAAAAGCAACCCTAAGAAAAGCAGAGTTCTTATGGGTGCACACTGGTACCTGGTATAAAACATTGTTAAGCAGGGGTGCATATGACGTTTGAGGTGCTGCAATGGTAGAATGGAGCAGTGGTCACCAATACTAAAGTTAGTTATGTTGGGATAGCATATAAGAACACCTTCCCAAGTAATGGTTGCATTGATGTCTTCTAATTGTGTACTATTTTCTTTGCAGATCTTCTATCCGAAAGAAAAATTCACTCATCCATATTATTTGAACCTTCTGTGTGAGCAGGTGAATGATAGTGCCATATGTAGTATTTTCTTTAAAATATTTTCCAAGTGTGTGAATATAATACCCAGATTTGCAATTATCAAGCTTCAGAGAAAAACATATTTGCAAGAGAGATTTTGGCATCAAACAGGTGAAGCTGAAATGTCAAATACAACCAACCACCCAACCAACACTTTGGGGTCTACGTATAAACAGATGAACAAATGTGACACACATCTGCTCAACTACAACAAAACTTACCATATTCTGTTATAAAACATTGCAATTTTGTTATTTTTACAAGACAGTAATGTTTATTATTATTATACAGTATATATATAGTGCCAACAATTTGCACAGCACTTTACAAAATGATAATATTATATTGAATGTACCCATGAGGCTGACAGAAACCAATGTTCAAGAAAAAAAAACAATCTGAATAAGTCACCAGAACCAGATGGCTTACACCCTAGAGTTCTCAAAGAACTATAGCTATGTATATAACCAGACCATTATTCTTAGTTTTAAGGACATCTTGCTGACTGGAATGGTACCACCTGATTGCCAAAAAGTTAAAGTGGTACCGAAATGCAAAAAAGGACAGTGATATATACCTGGAAATTACAGATCAGTCAGCCTAACATCAATAGTTTATAAACTATTAGAAGGAATGATAATGGATCATATCCCAGAGTTCACTGAAGAAAATTGTATCCATAACATTAACTGACATGGATTTATAAAAGACCATTCTTTCCAGACCAACCTTATAACATTCTGTGAGGAAGTGTGCTGTAATTTGGATAGGCCTGTGGACATAGTATATCTAGATTTTGCTAAAGCACTTGACACAGTACTCCATAAATGCTTAATTTACAAATTTAGGTCTTTTTGCATTGACAGTAGTGTATGTACCTGCATAGAAAATGGTTGCAGGAGCACATCCAGACGATGGCGATTAATGAAATATTTTCTGAATGGTCTAGTTTTGTGAGTGGGGTGTTCCTGGCCTCTGTCCTGGTACCGTTTTATATTTAACTTGTTCATAAACGATTTATAATTTGGAATAAATAATTCAATCTCAGTGTTTGTTGATGATACAAAATTAAGCAGGACAGTAACTTTACAACAGGACATAGCAACTTTACAAGAAGACCTATTTAAAACTGAGGGGTGGGCAGGTATATGGCAGATGAGGATTAATATTGAATGTAAATAATGCACTTGGGAACTAAAAATATAAATGCAATTTACGTGCTAAATAACTTCTGGGGGAAATGAGGATGGAAAAGATCCAGGGCTGCTTGTAGATCACATGCTCAGCAATAACATGCAATGCCACTATGCATCAAGTAAGACTAGCATGCACTGAAAATTGTGTTTACTTAACCACTTCCAGACCGGACACTTTTACCCCCTTCCTGTCCAGGGCAATTTTCAGCTTTCAGCGCTATCACACTTTGAATGACAATTGCGCGGTCATGCAACACTGTACCCAAATGAATTTTTTACCATTTTTTTGAGACAGATAAAGCTTTATTTTGGTGGTATTTATTCACCGCTGGGATTTTTATTTTGTTTGCTATGTAAATGAAAAAGTCCAAAAATTTTGAAAAAAAGTGTTTTTTTTTTATAAAATTTTGCAAATAAATAATATTTCATCATAAATCTTTGCCAAAATGTATTCCTTTATCTTTTTAGTAAAAAAAAAATCCAAATTAGTTTATAACCAAAAATTATAATTTTTAAACTTTTTTTTTACATTTTTATTTTATTTTTTTATATTATTATTTTTTATTTATTTATTTTTTTTTTACATACTGTCACCCTAGCAGTACAGTGTCACAATGGTGACACTGTACTACTTGTGGGGGGTGATGAAGATTTTTTTTTTTTTTTTTTTTACACATTGCTTTTACACCCATATAGGATGTAAAAGCAATCATTTCTCTTTCTCTCTGTGTGCATTCTTGCACTCATTGAGAAGTACTGAGTGAGCTGTGATTGGTCACAGCTTGTCACATGGTACAAGCCTGTTGTGAATAGGCTTGTACCATGTGACCTCTGTGATCATTCACAGATTTCACACGTAGTAAGCAATGATGTCACAAGTGACATCTTGCTTACTACTTTGCATGTGATCACTGATTGGCCAATCAGTGATCACATGATCGGGACCTCGTACAGAGGTCCCGTCCGACGATCTGTGTTTCACTGTGTCCGGAGGACACAGCGGGCACCGGATCGCGGTGCTGTGCACTCCCAGGGAGCGCGCACAAGCAGGGTGCGGGGAGGCCGTTTATAAACGGCCACCCGACCCTGCACTGCCACCGTCCGGCCGTTTATATGCAACGGCCGGTCGGGAAGTGGTTAAGAGATAAAACTAGAATTCTCCCACTTTACAAAAGTCCGGATTGGCCACGTCTTGAGTGTGCATCCAGTTCTGGTCACTAGTCCTCAGGAAGGATGTGTTTGAACTAGAGAGAGTCTTGAAAAGAGCAACAGCTAACAAGGGGGCTGAAGGACCTCAGTTATGATGAATGACTACAAACATTAAATGTATTCTCCTTGTAGAAGAGGCACTTAAAAGGGATTCGGATAGCAATATACAATACAAATATCAAAATGCTGATTCTAGCGTTTGAAGGAATCTATTTAATCCTAGGACTCTAAAGAAGCCACACATCCACAAGCTGAAGTTGGATGAGAAGCAGTTTAATCTGCAACTGCATAAGGGATTAGAGCAATAAGGATGTGGAACTTCCTTCCACAGTTGGTGGTGTCAGTGGGGAGTGCAAAAAAAACCTTTTAAATGTGTTTTCTTAGCTAACGCAAAATACAGGGATATGAACAATGGTAGTGAAATAAACACACATACACACTTGAACTGGATGGACCGGTGTCTTTATTCAAACATACTAACTATATAACTAATTATTTAAAAATACAATCATGTAAAAAAAAATTCCAAGCTCATAGGCTGCTTATGAAATAACATCTGTTTCATGTATGCTAGGAAACATGGCAATTAGGAAATATGTTTTTTGCTGAGCCTAAAATATGTACAGCTTTTGAAGCTAGATATGGGGACCCATGCATTAATAGAAAGTCTTGGAAAATCTAGCTGGTAAAAGAACAATGATCAGCTGTTGGTAGTGTTAGATCTGTTTGTCTCGGGCACTGCAGGCTATGTCCTAATATGAGAATAATGTCTGCTGTAACAGATTTTGTAGAATTCGGCCAGGACAATGAGCCTACACTTTATTCCACCAATATCACAAGAATATTAGTATTTAGTGTTTTTTTTTTTCTCAGAGAATAGGTGCAGGAACTCCTCCCTTCTGAGTCACCCCTTGTCTCTACCCCCTACCAAACTCTGAGCGCCATCCCTTGGTTCCACTCCCTACCCACTTTCCAGTACCGTCCCTTTGAGAGAATACAGGACCAAGTATCATTTTGTGGAGCTAAGTAATTTGTATGGAATTTGTTATTGATAACAAGAAAGGCAGTAAAAATACCTCTACAATCAGCAACAACATACCCCACCCCCCCAGCAAAAATAGATCCTCCCACAACAATAAACCCCTGCAGTTACAATAGACCCCCACCACAAAATACCACCTTAGCAACATTAGACCCCAGCAGCAATAAAAGATCTCCCAGCAACAATATACCTCTCCCTCAAAAGTAGATCCCTCTCAGCAACAACTGGCTCCCAGCAACAATAAATCTCCTTCCATGCAAAAATAGGTCCCCTCCAATGGCAATAGTTTCCCCAGCACCCAGCATCAGCAGACCCTCCATCACTGACTATTCCCATGTTGGAAAACTGGTATGTATTTCCAACAAAACTGCTCTTCATAGTATCCAAGGCCCATATATCAAACATTGTTGAATCTATTCTATCTTGTTGTTTTGTGGTAGTTAGGTCCTTAGTAACTTGCACCTGGGTAGCTGTTAATTACTAATATAGAATTTGATGTGCACAATAATCATGTAGGTTCCTGTTTGTGGTAATAGATAATTCGTGACACATTCTCAGACTCTGGTTTCAAGCTGTCTAAAGAGGAGAGACAGAAGATGAAAGACTTCTTAAGTAAGTAAAAAAAAGAGAATGTATAGTAAACCTGATTAAACTGACCGTATATTCACTATGCCAAAGTAACTTGGAATAGAGTTCTGTACCAATAGACTGGAACACATACTGTAAATCAGAAAAGTCAGCAATAAACAGTGCATATCATCATTAACTGAAATGTAAATAATAATAATACTATTACTAACCCAGAATGCACTCTAGGAGAATGGCTAGGATATGGTATATTGTCCACTGAGAAGTATTTCTTAGCATAAGTGATAGATAAAGGTCTGGGAGTAGCAGATATACAGGGGCAGTCTTTAGTCTTAACTTTTCGGCCAGTTGTGCCGTTGGTTCACGTGAAAACAAAACAGTCCAACCTAATAATGAGACTACTGGATGGCTGTATGGTCAGTTGCTAAAGGGGTCAGTTTCTCTAGTAACAGATAGTAAATGATGTAAAGGGATATTACAGCTTACCATTTCGTCACACACAGCGATTAATCCACTTTCTGTACTGCATGCAGGTGACTCTGTCTTTAAGCACTCCTGAGCTCAGCACTCCTGGTCCTGATCAGGCTGCCAATATGCAGCAGTGATAGTGCACACTAGACAGCGATGTGCACTATTCAGTCCCCTTCATGGCAAGAGGAAGCTGTGTCCTGTACAGCCTGAGAAAATGCAGCTCTTTTGCTTTCTCCCATCTCCTGTTGGGTATTCAGTCTATTGAATTTGATGCATAGTCTCTCCTCCATACACAGTTCCCACAGTGCATTGCTGCCTAATTCAGTCTATTGAATTCTTGCTGCTCAACAGCTCCCTCCACTTAATGATATAGCTGCTAACCGGTTCAGCACCACAGGGCAGTAGTTACAGAGAGCAGCTGCAGTCAGTGTTTCTCTCTCACTCATTCTTCGCCAAGCACCTGGCTACACTACTCTTAAAACTGTCCCCTCACCATTCTAACACCTATGCTTACTAACCTGTGTAAGAAAGATGTATATACTTACCTATTTTCAGCCCACTCTGGTCAGTCACTTGATCAGCCTGTGTCAGCCAGGCTGCAGGGGGAAAGGAGAAAGCACTCAACAACAGCTGGAAATGGCTGGAATCGGTGATGTCACCCATCAATAGCTCATCTATTACCAGTGATCCCTCCTCTTCCCTGCAGTCACACTGAATGACACAGGGGAGATCACGTAACCAGACCTGACCCACACATCTCTATACCAGATGAGATTCTGTCATAGAGTTGCAGAGTGGAAAAGAGAAGGGTAAAGTTGTGAAGGTTTCTGTGGGTAATTGTTTGCTGCTTGGAGGGATCAGTGTTTGAAGATGAGGACACCATGAAGGTGATGAGATTGTGATCAGAGAGAGGAAAGGGGGTGTTTGTGAGGTTGTAGGGAGTGCAAAGGTGGGAGAAAACAAGGTCTAATGTATTCCCATCAGAATGAATGGAGGACTGTGTCCATTGTGTTAAGGCAACATATGAGTTTAGGTTGAAGAGTTGGGATGTGGCTGGGTTGTTCACATTACTGGGAATGTTAAAATATTCAAGAATGATAGTGGGTATTTCAGAGGAGAGAAAGTAGGGTAGCCAAGCAGAGAAGTCATCAAGAAACAGCGACACCGGTCCAGAAGGCTGATAGATCACTGCAATCCTCAGAGGAATGGGAGAAAATAGCCAAATGCAGTGAGTCTCAAAAGAAGAAAAGGATAAAGAGGAAGGGGTGAAAGGACTTGAAAGGTGCTCAGTGGGGATAGCAGCAAACCAACTCCACCTCCTTTCTGACCACTGGGTCTGGGTGAGTGAGTCCAGAGAAGGCCTCCATAGGAAAGTGCTGCAGGAGAAGCAGAATCTGATGCTTGAAGCCAGGTTTCTGTAATTGCTAGTAGGTTAAGGGAGCGGGAGACAAAAAGGTCATGGACAGAGGTGAGCTTATTACAGACAGCGCGGGCATTCCAGAGCGCACATGAAAAAGGGAGGGTGGTTTTTAGGAGCATGGGGATTGAGATTAAATTGAGTGGATTGCGGCTATTCCTGGAGGAAGGAGGGTGCCTGTTGTGGGGGTGAGATAATAGAGGACCAAAGTTCGGGTAGATCTCACCAGAGGTTAGGAGAAGCAGGAGGGTGAGGAAAGTAAGATGGGAGTGGGATGTATATGTCCAGTTTGAACTTTGGCAAGTCGTCTTAATCATGTCTAGATGCCTAAATGCATTGACCAGTAATTACCAGTTGAAAAAGCGCAGTGCCGAATAGAAAAAATTGCCTGGTCAGGAAGGGAGGAAAACATTCTGGAGCTGAAGTGTTTAAATCGAAGGGGTTGTTTTGTACGATAAAGGTTCACATATACTTTGACATTGGAACATAATAGAAAAGTGATACACGCTTCAGAAAAAGACACATTAAAAATAATTGCACAGTGATTGTCCAGGTTTACCTTCAAGCAGAAGTAAGATATTCAGATAGTGACATGCAGTATACAGTATGTAGCAGACAATATTTTTTGTGTCAATGACCTTTTTCTGATTTCTGTTGATCAGATGACCACCATGTGGGAAGTGATGCCAGCTCCATCACAGAAGAGTCTATTAAGAAACGTATTGTTATAGCTGCTCGGGATAACTGGGAAAATTATTTTTCCCGCCTCTTCCCTGTCACAGTGAGTAAACGTAACTTTATATTTATGTAACTGAAAAAAAAATTTGCTGTGACCTCCTTTACTTATTCTGACTGTCATTCTAATCAAATGGCTTTAATGTTTGAATTACAAAATGTATGCAAAGTTCTGACTTGGTGCAGGTCAGTAACTCAGGAAGTATTGAGGTCAGAGGCAGCCATAATTTTAGAATAACCAAATTTGCTTGTCATATTTTTCTCCCATGACAGGTCCAATTTTTTTTTTTTTCATTTTGTTCACCATATATCTGACATTTGTGATTCATTTGTTAGTAGTGCTTTTTCACAATGTGAAATTGAAGTTTATCTATATTAAGTATAAAGCAAAGGTGACTTAAGCACTGAAAAACAGGCAGCAAGATGTGAGCCACAGAATCAGAGTGCTAGGTATGTAATTCCTGACTCTAAACTCCAAAGACTCTCATGCATTGAGCCTCTCTGCTGGTTGGAAGAGCTCAGTTGATTGCACTTAGGGAAATGAGAATGAAATCTAGAACTGGTCAATACGTATTGAGCTCATTTTGTTTTGGGGGACTCAGGTTGGTTAGGAAAAGTGAAGCTGACCTTCAGGCAACAACTATGCGAAGATATGCACCTGTCAAATGATATGTATTGCTGTCAATCCAGCCCTGTCACACAGCACAGTCAGGAGGTTAACACCGCTGTATCTGCTACAGTTTAGACTGTATAAGAGATATAGTAGTGTCATCTTCTCACCCCCAGCCTGCTGATTGGAAAGTGAAGAACAGGATCTTTCCGACTAATCATCTTGAACACCAAGGTAAGTATAGCACAAAACATATATGTATTGTTTTGTTTTTTGGGTGGTAGTCAATATGTGCAAAGAGAGATCACACAAATACCTATAAGTATAACATTTATTAAAAGTAATGACAGATACAGATAAAGATATAGAAAATATAACAAGCATACTTAACTAAAGAAGCTGTTTTACCATGGAGTCCCATCTGCGTGTGCAGCGTGGCACAGGTAATCACAGGCGCATGCGTGATTACAAGCTCTGGTTCAAGCTACAACTGTAGTATAAACAGTGGATATAAAAAGTCTACACACCCCTGTTAAAATGTCAGGTTTCTGTGATGTAAAAAAATGAGACAAAGATAAATAATTTTAGAACTTTTTTCACCTTTAATGTGGACTATAAACTGTACAACTCAATTGAAACAACTGTAACCTTTTTTTTGGGGGGGGAGTAAACATAAAAAACTAAAATAATGTGGTTGCATGAGTGTGCACACCCTATTTTAATTTGGGTTGTAGCTGTGTTCAGAATTAAGCAATCACATTCAAAATCATGTTAAATAGAAGTTGGTACACACCTGCCATCATTTAAAGTGCTTCTGATTAACCCCCAAGTTCAGCTGTTCTAGTAGGTCTTTCTTGACCTTTTCTTAGTCACCTCCTACAGAAAAATCTTTGGTCCGCAGAGAGCTTCCAAAGCATCAGAGGGATCTCATTGTTAAAAGGTATCAGTCAGGAGAAGGGTACAAAAGAATTTTCAAGGCATTAGATATACCATGGAACACAGTGAAGACAGTCATCATGAAGTGGAGAAAATATGGCGCAACAGTGACATTACCAAGAACTAGACGTCCCTCCAAACTTGATGAAAAGACGAGAAGAAAACTGGTGTGGGAGGCTGCCAAGAGGCCTACAGCAACATTAAAGGAGCTGCAGGAATATCTGGCAAGTAATGGCCCGTATTCTTCACATGTCTGGGTTATAGGGTAAAGTGGCAAGACGGAAGCTTTTTCTTGCAAAGTAAAATATCCAAGCCTGGCTGAATTTTGCAAAAAACACATCTGAAGTCTCCCAAAAGCATGTGGGGGAATGTGTTATGGTCTGCTGAAACCAAGGTTGAACTTTTTGGCCATAATTCCAAAAGATATGTTTGGCGCAAAAACAGCACTGCACATCACCAAAAGAACACCATACCCACAGTGAAGCATGGTGGTGGCAGCATCATGCTTTTTGGTTGTTTTTCTTCAGTTGGAACTGGGGCCTTAGGCAAGGTAGAGGGAATTATGAACAGTTCCAAATACCAGTCAATATTGGCACAAAACTTTTAGGCTTCTGCTAGAAAGCTGTACATGAAGAGGAACTTCATCTTTCATGATGACAACAACCCAAAGGATACATCTAAATCAATAAAGGAATGGCTTCATGAGAAGAAGATTAAAGTTTTGGAATGGCCCAGCCAGAGCACAGACCTAAATCTGATCGAAAAATCTGTGGGGTGATCTGAAGAGGGCTGTGCACAGGAGATGCCCTCGCAATCTGACAGATTGGAGCATTTTTGCAAGGAAGAGTGGACAAATATTGCCAATTCCAGATGTGCCATGCTGATAGACTCATACCCAAAAAGACTGAGTGCTGGAATAAAATCAAAAGGTGCTTCAACAAAGTATTAGTTTAAGGGTGTGCACACTTATGCAACCATATTATTTTAGTTTTTTTATTTTTAGTTCCCTTTACCTAAAAGATTTCAGTTTGTTGTTCAACTGAGTTGCACAGTTTATAGGTTACATTAAAGGTGGAAAAAGTTCTGAAATGGCTTATCTTTGTCTCATTTTGTTACATCACAGAAACCTGACATTTTAAAAGGGGTGTGTAGACTTTTTACAGTATATCCACTGTAGACTAAGGACAGCCCCCAACCAACTCCCTTCTTAAGCAACAATATGACCTCTTAAGGGCTTTGTCAGTTTCTAATCAGGCATTCCTGAAAGGAGAGTGGTCTGGCTTGTCCATATAGTCACATTGGTATGAGTTGGTATTTAAGGTAACCAGAATAACCAGCATATTAGAGGCTTTATTAGATATTTGTGAGGCCAACATTAATAAGGAATATGAAATATGCAATTAAAGCCCCACAACAAAAAATAACCAGTAGGTTGATATTTTTGGCAGAAAAGACACGCAAAGTCTGTTTTGCCAAAATAAGCTTTTCCCCACCTTCTGGTGATTTTTTTATTCTTATGTGTAAACTGCATGGCACATGCATCTTGCAATGTACATCCCAGCTCTATTCTCAGTGTACTGGGTGCTGGGACATGCGCAGGAGTTACATCACCAGTTTGACATCTAATGGCCAAAGCAGATTGTTATGGGAGCTAAAAGAAACAGCGGAGGTGGAGAACAAAGTGGTAACAGGATCCTGGACCCATCATCACTGGAGGACAGCACAGTAGAGAGTGTAACACCAACAAGAGTTTAATTCCACTTTAGGTTATCAGCATGACAGCTGGGATTAACTGGCTAACAAATTACCAAGGCTCCAGTTGAAGCTGTAACATATCTCAAAGCTATACTTGGTAAGCCTTTGCTGTGTTTTTTGTTTTCACCCGTTTTACAATGCATTATTCTTTGTTCCCTTACTAATTTCATCTTTTGCCTGAATTTAGCTGGAGGATGATGTAGAAAAACTGCTTTTGGGAGTGTCTCACCGAGGAATCCGGCTTCTGAAAGATGTAAATCCAACAGGAATCCAACAGAGATATCTGAAGACTCTGTGCAGCTACAGGTGGGACAAAACACAGCCCAATGGAAAACAAGTAAACCTTGGAAGGAATCTTTCCCTAAACATTTTAATTTTCTTATCCCGCAGTTATGTAGATATCCTGTCCTTGGAGATGTCCGATTCACGCACATTGCGCTTTTGTCTGCGTACTGAGGATCTGAGTTTGCGTTCTGACAGAGCACAATCACTAAAAAGCTTGGTGGAACTGTTTCTGCAGGAACTGATGAAGGTGATCGAGGAGATCAAACTTTAGCAATTGGTCTAGTCTAGTAGTAGAAAACAAAAGCCCTGATAAAAGTGTCCTTTTGTTGGTGTTTTCACAGGACTCAAATCACGTGGTTGCGCTCCGTAGCCATATTACTGATGATAAGAGTCTACTTCAGTTCAAGAAGGGTGATATCATCAAAGTGCTGCCAATGGATGGATTGGAGCCAGGTATTAACAGCAATCATTGGAGTAACTTGGTTTTGTGTGATGGGCATGGCAATAAAGAGATGGGTACATGGTGGTCAACCTTTTTTTCAGAGTATCTGTCTGTATCACATTGTAGGGGAATACTTTAATGGGTTGCAAAATGATTAGTGAAATTAGTATGCCCTAATACACATTTATAGTCATTCTAGTTTAATTATTCAAAGTTTCTCATGAATAAAGACAATTCAGGCCCATAATAAAATGTCAAAATGGAGAAATAATATTTCAAAAATATATGTAATTTACTAGATATACTATATTTACAAGGACATCACAGCAGTTTTTGGAGTGGTGTGTCAACATAAGGCAAAATAGCTATTTGCTTGTATTGTACTTAGTTGCTATAGAAACATCTTTTAATTTTCGTTCTCACATCATTGGCAGGATTGCAAAATTCTTGCAGGGAGAGCTTCTGGGAAGATCCCTTTTCCCTACACACAGAGTTGGCAGGCTTTAGGGAGTCAATGCAGCAGCATTTTTTTCATCACAGAGCCGTTCCAGTCTCTGAACGTATCCTGTCAACAATGTAGGGATCCACCCAGATGCCTAACCAGCAACTGGATCAGCCTTTCAGTGCACCATTGACAGCCTAAGCAAGCTGCTCCCACCCCCTCCACAGCCCAGTGCTCCAGTGAGCACTGGGAGGCAGAGCAGAGAGCAGTGTAAAGCTGGCCTATTAGCGGTCATGTGATTGCTCAGTGCTTGGTCTTAGATCTGGCAGAAGACAGTTGCAGCACAGGAAAAATGCTGCAGCCACATTATGTGTTAGAGGTTCTGTATAAAGCCCTACAGAACAGACAGTGAACAGTCCACATGTGTCTGTTTGCTGCTTCTCTGCTTACAGGCAAAAGGAACTTTATTATAGTGAAAAGACATAGAGTTTATCATAGATGCAGCTACAAACTTATAAACACTGCCATCTACTGGTTGAAGAATATATCTCTACGGAATACTATTGGTGTGGTTGTTGCACAAAAATACACAAACATTGTATTCCAACACTTAACAACTACTCCTTATATTAGTCCCATTTCTGATCTCAGTTCTCTAAATCCGTTTCTTGTAAGCAGTTTTAGCAAAGCATCTGATTCACTTTTGTTTTTTGTGGGTTGGAAGTTTTTGCATGTTATCCCATGAATCTTGCTCTGGTTTTAATGCAATGTGAGCAACATAGGACAGGAGTTTGGCTGGGATGCCTTTATTGCTTCTGGTGGATTTCCTGATTGAAGCCTCTTGTGGCTTGGTTTCTTCTTTTACAATATTTGGATTGTCTGCGTTAATTATATTTTTGTGTCACTTTGATGCTTATCTTCACGTGATACTGATGTGGAATTTCCCTTAGTTTGAAGTGTTTGTGTTAGTTCATGAAATTTTGAACACACTGAAGTTTCATCGACAATTACACTTCTACTGATGATTACCTTGCTTGTATCTTGGTGTAGAATTCAGTATCCCTTTTGAGATTCACGGTACACCTTTTTTGTAAATTTTTTTGGGCGATGTGCACATAGTCTTTGCTTTAAAAATTTTTTAGATGGTTCAAGTTTGGGAGTTTTCCATTCCACAGTTCTTATGGTATTTTTTCTCCATATGATATTCCTCAGTTGATTTTGGAGATAGCATTTGATCATAATTGCCTCCCCCTAGTATGTGGTTGGCATATCTGTATCAAACAGCATGGTTCTTCCACTCTCACATACAATACGGTTCATTCTTTCTGCAACCCCATTTTGCTCTGGGTTGTATGGTACAGTAGTTTGAAATATTAAGCCATGCTTTCTGAGAATCGCCTGTGTGTTATCTGCATATTCAGCTCCATTTTTGGTGCACAATACACCTGGCATTTTACAAATTTGTTGCTTACTTGAGCCAATTACTATTCAAGTTTCTCTGATACTTCACTTTTGTTGTGTAACAGACATAGTGTAGTATACCTGGAGTAATCATCTATAAAAGTGAGAAAATACCTCTTCTTTCCTACTGTCAATTTCTCCATTGGACCTCAAAGATCTGAATGAATTAAAGTGTTACTAAACCCAGGACCCTGCATGCACTACATCTGGTCTCCCACAGTACACAAAACATGGAAATGCAATTATTTTAGTAAATATAAACTGCTAAATACCTTTTCTCATCAGTAGTTGGAGCAGTCTCGTGACTTCTATCAGTGTTTATCAGAGCACTGGGTAAAGCTTGTAGGATGAGTTTTCTTTCTGCTCTAGGAGGATGCAGAACCCCTGACCTCTGTCAGGACAGTGCTGATTGGCCCTGTGCTGATCACATGCACTCTCTCAAAGAAAAAAAAAACCTCTCTAGCAATACACACCAAACTGAGCATGTGCAGAGTGTCTCCACACCATATGTCTTATCAAGAGATAAGGGGCACACTGAAAGAAGGGGAGGATCAGAGAAGTTAGGATCAAACAGCCTTTTTTCACAATGCAGATGATTAACCCCTTAGGTTCCACAGTGAGAATTAAAAGCATGCTTTACTGCATATACAGACTGATTTTACTGTTGTGGGTTTAGTAACACTTTACGTCCAGAGGTTCTTTAGCTCTGCTGTTACTCTGCTTTGGAAAGGCTTTTGTTGTAAATTTTTCCTTTTATACAGATGTTGCATTTCATTGTTTGATTACATGGACTAATTTTTTTTCTACTTGCATAGTCATTCTCAGTTAATTTCTTTGTTATGTCAGGACTTCTATGCCCAAGTCATCTGCACCATGTGTTTATGCAGACTGCATGTTTTTCCTCCTTGGCTGTATTAACCGCCTCATTGCCGTTTAGCTGATATAGTTCATCTTTAATTTTAGCCTTTTCAAATAAGATATTCCCTTTTGTGATGGCACAACTTCTTAGAAGACCACTACATTGCCTTGTTTTGTGAGCTTCTTCACTGACAAAAGATTTGTTTCAAGAGCAGGGACATACAGGACATTTTTCACAGGTATCTTTCTGCTGACACTCTGGGAAATAGGACAGTAAAGAAAACTGTCTCCCATTCCTTCTGATTCTATTATTTTGCCTATTAGCTGTGGTGATTGTTTCTGTTTTACTCTGGTCACAGTGAATAAAGAAATTTCTGTCATTTATCATGTGACTCGTAGCTCCTGAATCAACATATCATGCCTGCAAAGATGAGGTGCAACTTTTGGACTGAAAAATATATTAATTATCTGAAGAAAAATCAATTTCTTCCTTCACACTTTTGGCCTTTTGTAGTTCTAGTTTGTTTTTTGTATACTAGCTTTCAAGATTCTACAATCTGCTCATAAATGGCCTTGCTTCTTGAACACAAAGCATTCATGTGTTTTTTTGTTGAATGTTAGATTTTATTTCTATTTTTTGTATTTAAAGCAGATTCTGCGATAGAAGCACTGTCACTATTAATACTATATGTTTTACACTTATATTCATCCATAAACTAGCCCTTAACATATTCCAATGTGAGTTCATCATCTGACCCCTAATCCTGTATGATCATAACTGCTTTTTTGGGGCTCGTTCACAGTAGCAGCAAGGGCTCCTGCTCCTCTGAAAAGTGATCCATGCTCAGATTGCTTTTGATTCTGTACGCATTCCTTGACATGCTGTAATGTGAACTCAGCCTTAGTTTGGGGTGCCTCAAGACTGAGAATACATTTAAAGGACACCTTGACTCAAAAAAGGTTGAGAAACACTGTGTCTCTGATCATATGTGCAGCACCATGGCAGTTGTACATCAAACAGAGGCCAAGATGGCAGCTTCCTTTGCTGTAAAAGGTAGGAGGATTTAGTTCTGCTTTAACATTACCAGATTTTCAAAATGAAATTTGTGGCAAATTCTGTGGGTGGGACCAAATTAACTTAATAATGGGCGGGACATAAAAGCGTAGGGTTAAGTATAACCTGCACCTATCCTGCTATGGGTCAACAGAGTATAAAAGCATAAAGTGCAGGGGTCAGGAATATGTAACGCACAGAGTTCAGGCATCAGGACTAAGTAGTGCACAGAGTTCAGGGATTAGGATTAAGTAAAGCATTCTATTCTGACTCAGATTTTTGTGATAGCGATGTATCCCTTGTGAGACCTCTCTGCCTAGCCTGTATAAGCAGATATAATCACTGTGGACAATCCTTATCAGATAGCTGAACTCACCAATACTGTGTTCATCCAGAAGTTGCTTTATTCTGTACATGTGACAACAGGATACAGCAGAATGAATGGTTTCCAGTATTATGCGGTCAAAAGATGATAATTTCTGTAGCGTACTATGCAGAATACATGTGTCCCTGTTACATGTGGTCT